ATATTAGAATAGACAGGCTGGCCTCTGCTCAGAGATAGCATATAGAAGATGACTGCATCCCATAAATCCTAAAGTGCCCAGAATCTAAGATTCTGGAATTTGAAGATCCCAACACCCACTGTCTATTGTTGTAGGAGTCTCAGAGGCTCAATTTTAGAATTTTATGGATCCAAGATTCTAACATCCTATATTTCTGTGAGATAAAAAGTACCGGATTGGGCTGGGGTTGTAGCCCAGTGGTAGAGCACTTGCCTGGCATGTGTGAGGTCCCGGGTTCAATCCCCAAGACTTCCAAAGACAAAACAAAACCCTAGAACATCATCATTCTAGATCCATAAATCCCTGATTTTAGAAATTAAGTGTCTAGGAGTCAATGAATTTAAGATTCAAAGCTCTCTGAGTGAAGCTCCCTGTCTTTTAAGACTCTGGCATGATCAAATTCTGAGGTATTGATTCTACATGTTTATGAAAATAGGCTTCTAGAATTCTGGAATCACAGTGTCTGTGAATCAAAGATTCCATGACTGTAAGTCTCAATGTCCCATGAGCCTAAGACACTTGGAACCTAAGATTCTAGGATTGCACTAGCCAACACTGCCACTGAGCACTTGAAATGTGGCATGTCCCAACTGAGATGTATTATCTGTAGAAAATACATGCTGGATTGCAAAGCTTTACTTAAAAAAAAAAAGTGAGCTATGTCATTCATAAGTATTTAAAATGTTATTACATTTTGAATCAATATTTTGAGCATGTCCAATTAAATCTGTTATTAAAGTCAAATTTGCCTGTTTCTTTTTACTTTTTAAAGGTGTCTACTGGAAAACTTCAGCTACACCTGTGTCTGGCATGACATTTCCGCTCCCTGGGCTGATCATGKAGATCATGTAGATCCCCGAGGCCTCTGCATCTGTGATTCCAGAATTCCAAGGCTCCAAGATTTCCAGACTCTAGGATTCTGGGTTTCTCGGGCCAAAGCCTCGAATCTTAGACTCCTAGAACCTGGGATGTTTTAGGGCTCTGGAATGAAGAGTTGGACTTCTGGGGTCAGAAATGGAGGTCCCTCTGTGCTCCACCCTGAGGCCCCTCCTGCACCACCCGCTCGGGCTCCCCATTCCKCTGGCCAGCGTGGCTGGTCCGGGGCACTCACGGCTTGCGGCAGTGGGCAGCTGTGAGCAGCCAGCGGTCACTGATGAGAGTTGCCCCGCAGAAGAGCCGGGTGAGGTAGAACAGGCCAGCCTGCCAGGGCTGTGAGTTGCGTTGACATTCCTCCGCCCCGATGGTGCGGGTGTCTGCCCAGCCTTGCCCTGGGGTGGGGGCAAGAGGGGTCAGGGACAGCAGGCGGGAAGGGAGGGCCTGGGAGGGGAGGCCGAGCCCAGAAGGCAGGGTGCCTGAGCTGGGGCGGGGAGGCCGGCTCAGAGGGGCTGGGCAGGAGCCGAGCCCGAGAGGGCAGCAGGGCTGCGGTGGGCTCACCTGCTAGAAGGGACAGCAGAGCCCAGGTGAATCCCAGCTTCATGACCTCGGGGCGAGCGGGTCCTCAGCTGGCGCTTGGTGCCCGAGCTTCTTTAAGGTACACCATGCATCTCCTTCCTCCTCCCCGGGGCGGCCCCTGTGATTAATCAGCATTGGGAAACGTCCCTGGGGGAGGGGGAAACCCTGGGGTTGTGCTAGGGGTGGGGGAACCTTGGGAGGGGCGGTGGGCTCAGGGGGACCCCCCTATTGGGGGAGCTGGACCAGAACTCCACTAAATGGGAAGGGGTGCAGGTGTGTGGAGGGGATGTGGGTGGCTCCTCTGGGCCTTCAGAGTGGGGGCTGCTCTTCCCCATGACCTTGGGCTGCAGGATCTGGATAGAATCTCAAGGCCTGGAGGAGGCAGGGTGCCTAGGGCAGGATCCCAGGAGGAAGGTGCGTGGACTTTGGGAGCCGGACCCACCCCTGGGTGGCTGCCCAGAGCCTAGGCTGGGGAGAAGGACCCAGGCAGGCAGAGCGAAATGTCAGGGGAGAGAGGAAGAACAAGAGGGGGACGCCAGTGAGAGGACCCCAGGCAGGCCAGGGCCACAGGGAGCCCCATACTGCACAGAACCCTCCCTGCCCTGGGGACTTGAGCCCGTCCCCAAAAGAGAGAGGCCTCTTCCACGGTTGGGGAGCCTGTTTCCCACCCCGTTAATCCCCTCCTGTCCCAGCCTGCCCCCTTCCCTACAGCCCCACCACCCCAGGGACCAGGTGCCCCACCTGCCTGGACCCACGTGCCCTGCCTGCTCTCTTAATGCCACCTGATCTCTGCCAAGTCCCAGGAGCTTTGGCCATATCCTCCCCACCCATCTCTCCCTTCCCTGCCTCCACTGTCCTTCCCATCACCCCCTCGCCTGGCCTCTTTCCCCATTTCTTCTCACCAGCTGGGCGCCCCTGGGGAGCCAGGCCCAGGTCTGACTCATCTCTGTGTCCCCAGAATCACCCGTCTGGGCTGGGCTCACAGGAGTCCTCAGGAGAYGTCAATTGGTGAGTGACGTCTTTCCCCACAGCCTTCTTTATCTGGTGAACTCTTACTCACCCTCCAGGGCCCAACCTAAATGTCCCTCCACCAAGGTGCCTTCTCTTAGCTCTCCAGGCAGAGTCACCCCTGGCTTCCCTGGGCACTCACAGCCCCTTCCGCTCTCCCTTGGCCCCGGGCTTATCAGCTGGGTGGCTCCATCTGGATGTCCCCAGCTGTGGTCTCAGGGTCTGGGCCGTGCGTTCTGGAACTGAACCATCTGTGCCCAAGTTCCCTGCTGCCACCGGCTAGGCATGTGACCTAGGGCAGGTCACCAGGCCTCTCTCCTCTGCTCAGGAGCAGTAATATCCAGGCTTTCAGGGGGCAGTGGGGGGCAACGGCTAAGAGACTGGGAGCACCCAGGAGCGGGCCGACTCGCGGTRGGTACTCAGTCAGCCTGGCTCTCCGTCTCCTGCGGAGTCCACACGACCTTCCTCAGAGCATGACAAGCCTGTGGTCAATTCCTCCCTSTCCCAAAGGACCTACTGTGTGATGAGAGCCCCACTAAACTGCTTTACAGGATACTGAAAAGCTCTCTTCATTCTGTACCTAGAGAAGGCATTGCTCATGAATATCAGCCCATTCGATCCTGGTGAGAGTCTAGTCAAGCAGGTATCTCAGCGCAGAGCRGAGAACTGAAGTACAGAAAGCATTCGAATAACTAGCTCAAGGTGCCATGGTGATATGCATTGTCTTCTTTCKCTGGCGAACTCCTGCTTATCATTTAACACCCCCCCAAATATCCCTTGGTGTGAGAAGCCTCCCAACTCCTTCAGGCAAAGTCCTCAGGCGCTCCGAGGTGTGTCTGTGGTGCGTGGACTGATGGATCTGTGTTCCTTGTTCATTCAACAATACGCTGATGGTTTCTGTGTCAGGCACTGGAGCAAGTGCTTAGAATACACAGTGGACAGTACCTGAGTCCTTGTCCTCACGGACTCTGTGTGTGGGGGGACGCACAGTCATTATCAAGTAAACAGGTGAATGAAATAATTCCAGCTATAATGAGGGCTGTGAAAGAAAGAAAGGGAGCAGTGGGATTGGTGACCAAAAGGGGACCCCTTTCCAGGACAAYCCAGGAAAGCTTCCTGGAGGAGGTGACCTTTGAATGGAGACCTGAATGACAAGAATGTCAGTCCTGCCTGCCTCCCTCCTGGACCTGACGCACAGCTTCCTGAGGGCAGGGCTTAGTCAGACTCATCTCYGGGGCCTGGCACAAGACGCAGCTGCGTAAACAGCACGGAGTGCGTGAAGGCATGGRCGGATTGACTGGAAATGTGTCCAGCCCCGAGTTCCACCTACTTCACTTGTGATCCCTGATGACCAACCGGGCTGATACATAGGACTGACATTTCCTGGGTGTGCTATGGGGTGGGACGAGGAAGAGCCAAGGGAAGGAAGTGGTACACCCTACTGTGTGCTCAGACCTCGACTGCCCATCTTCTGAGGGCTCTGTGGGAGCAGGGACCTTGTGGTCACCAGTGTGTCCCCATCACCCAGCATGGGGCCTAGCATAGAACAGATGCTCAATAAATTGGTGTTTGAAAGGGCAACCCAGTCCATGCTCTGTGGAAGAGTCCTGCTGTGTCAATGTTCAGCTGCGCCATAACTTACAAGTTCAGACTCCAAAGTCCAGGCGAAGCTGAGACCCTCGGAGATCTGCTTGTTTTGTTTTGCCTGGATTCTGTGTGTAAACCCCCCTCCCCCAGGACAGAAATATTTACAGAGACAATTTCAGGGAGAGGGAAACAACCCCTCCTTCCAAGCTTCCAGGACAAACGTCTCAAAGCCAGTTAATAACAAACCAAAGATTCTCCCTGAACCTCAGAGGCTCTGGGCACCGAGGTAGGAAGAGGCTTGGCCCTCTGGTCCTGGGGGCCCGGAAGGATGCAGGGTGAGTTCCCTTCCGTGGCCCCATGAAGGCAGAGAGCAAGCAGATGAGTCAAGGGCAGCCTCACGGCTGCTGGGACAGAGGAGCTGGTGTCGGGTGGACCCAGAAGTGGGAAGTAGTGGGTGGGAAGGAGGAAGCAGGTGCAGTGCTCCCTGAAGCCCAGATGGAGAGCAGGGAATGGTCCTCCCATCAGCCCAGGGTGGGGCTGGGGTTTGGAGTGAGGGCTATGCTGGACTCTTCTGCCTTGGACAGAGACACTGTTACCACGATGTGGTCACGACAACAGGTACCGTTTAGTCAGCGCTCACACTCATTGATCAGGCTTACATGACAATTACCAGAAAGATTTACCCACGTTCCGTCACCTGTGCCTGATGGTGCATTTAAGAGGTAGGCACTTCATTGTCCCTGTTTTTCAGGCGAGGAAACCAAGGCTCAGAGAGGGTACATGGCTTGCCCCGGGACACTCAGCAGTGAATGGTAGAGGAAGCCAGGTCGGCTGACTCTGATAACTTCGCTCAGAGATTAGGTGACTTTCAGGTTCCTCACTTTTCCTGAACAAACCTTTGCCACAACTTTCTCTTCTTTGGCTCCAGAGTGAGCAGAGAACAGGAGTGTCAGGGGAATGAGGGAAGAGAACAGATGGGCAGGCAGGGTACGGAGGGTCTGGCCAGCCGGGGAGGAAGGGCCGAGGAGGAGGACAGGTGGTGAAGGGGTCTTGGGGGCTGGATCATTTGGAGCGGATGGTTTTCTTGATCCAGGGGACATATTTGCAGATCTGGGTGTAAACAGCCGGGTGCTGGGCAGAGCCGCAGGGGTAAACGCCCCAGGAGAGGATGCCCTGTAGGGTCTGGTCACATACCAAGGGGCCGCCCGAGTCGCTCTGCAGGTGGGAGAAGGGAGACCCCAATGTGAGAGCTTCCACTTGGGGTCTGATGAGGAGGGAAGGGGCTGGGGCCAGGCTAGAGTTAGGTGGGATAATGATGGGGTCGGGTGGGGCTGGAGTTAGGTGTGAGGTTGGTGTGCACTGGGGTGAGGATGGACGTGGACTTGGGGTCCAGGGTAGGGTCAGGAGATGTGCTGGGGTTGAGGTTGGACTCTGGATCATGGTAGGTGAGGGTGGATAGGGATCGGGAGATGGGAGGATTGGTGGGGTGAGGACAGCTGGAGGGTGGGCTAGGGGCTGAGAGGGTGAGGAACAGGGCGGGCCTGGGGTCAAGGATGGAGCAGGGAACGGGGTTGGGGCAGGGACAGGCATCTCTTTCCTCCTGGCCATTCCCTACCTGGCAAGGGTCCTGGCCCTGGTCCAGTCCAGCACAAATCATGTTGTTGGTGATCACTCCAGGGTAGAAGACTTCGCATGCTTTAGGGGTCAGGAGAGTGACCCTGGAGCAGCTCAGGCCCTTGTTGTACTTCACTGATGGGAGAACATGCCAGGTGATTCCTAGGGCCAGCCTAGCTACCCAGGGGTTAGATGCAAGACTGCCTAGCCCAGGCCCCAGATGTCCTCCAGGAATCAGGCCCAGCCTCCCCT